ATATTAATATTAATATTGAGCAGTAGAGAGTGCAGAACACATTGCTCTGCTTGTTGAACATGTTTTTGAGGCTGTGTGTGTTTGGTGTGTCGAGCGTCTCGGTCCTGCTGTAATGTGAGGAGCTTTAATCCACTGTGTTTCTAACTGCAGAGTGTTTGTTTGCTGTCTGTTCTTAATCTCGTCTGTCCTCAGGTGCTCTGAGAAGTGTGTGAGTGTGTGTGTGAATAAATGCAGGCTGGCTCTAATAATAATAATAATAATTAAAAAAATGCAGAATAACACACCTGAGCAGCTTTGGACACTTCATTTCCCCTTTCCTTTCTGTTGAAAACTGATCTGATATCCACTTTTCACTGGTAAGTTTAGAATATCTCCACTGTATAGCTGGGCTGAGCTTTTGTTTATGTCTGGAGTGATTCCCAATTCACCTGTTTATAAACTACATACTACTATTTTGGTGAAGAAAAAGTACTTTTAAGTGTGCGACAAGAGTATAGAAGATACTTTCTCATTACTGGACAAACATCTTGTCAATTTATCCACAATCCTTTCATATTTAAGAGCTTTTATATATGCATTTTTTATTACAAGTTTGATGTAATCTGAACTGTAACATGAAGAGAGGGCGGGGCATTTAGTAGCCCCTCCCCTTTAATTAATACAGCCAATAGTGTTTTGTTTTATCACAGCTCTGTCAGTAGCTATGTTTCCATCCAAAAATGTGAATTAACTTTATGCGCAAAACTGCATTATCGCATTAAAGTTGTGCGAATGAAGCATCGTTTCCATCCAACGAGTCAAAGCCAACAAAATCGTCACTTCAGTATGAAGCTAATAAATGACACAGTGCCGGATTAGAGAAGAGCCCGAGTGTAAACGTTCTGTTGTGTTGAGTGTGTTTTATCTTGACGGAAACTCTGCGGTTTGTGTAAGTGTTTGGCAGGGACAATGCGCATATGTGTGTGTGTGTGTGTGTGTGTGTCCTGGTATTAATTAATTAATGAAGACCATGTGTGATCAGTTTTGCAAGTAATTGTTTAGTAATCGTTTACCAGTCAATTTAGAATTTTGACCTTGATCTGTGTGTGTGTGTGTGTGTGTGTGTGTGTGTGTGTGTGTGTGTGTGTGTGTGTGTGTGTGTGTGCGTGTGTGCGTGTGTGTGTGTGTGCAATTTCCTGTGATAACATACTGTGTGAGTCAGCTTTAGGAAATAGCAGCTGTCAAATCACTTAACCAAAAAAGGCAAACCACTGACACAATTTCTCTCTCTCACACATACACACGCGTACACACACACACATCTCTCTCTCTCTCACACACTTCCATTCAGTTTGCTTAGATAATCAGTTAAAGTGACCAATTTTGAGGTGTTGCTCTTTTTCTAATGAGCACAAGCAGTTTTCTATACACAGATACTCCAGCAATGAAAGCACAAGTGAGGGATATTTGCTATTTAATTTCATATTTGTACAATTTATAATTTAATTAATTATAAGAATTGTCCTTTTATTAAATGAACGAATATTTTGATTTCATTTTAATTTCATTAAATTTATCTTGGTTGATTAATTATTTTGATTAAAAAAAAGACAAATAATTAAAATGATTTAAATTAAATTATTCCGCGTACTTGAGTTACTTTACCAGTTACTTGGTAAAAGTAATCTGACGACATAACTTGTGTTGTTATGATGCGTTTCCTCCAACATTAGTGTCTGTGGTGTTCTTCATGTGTGTGTTTATTGTGTGTGTGTGTGTGTGTTTCAGGACACAGAGGCCATGAAGCGCGCGCTGGCTCTCATTGACTCCAAAATGGCCCAAGCCAAAAACTGGCTCCGAGACCCTCAAGGCCAACCAGGTGCGAAAACTGTCCCGTCACATTAAAGAAACACTACATTATTTTGGAAATATGCTTGTTTATAGCTCCTCTAGTGGTAACAGTTGAGTTTTACAATCTCTGAATCTATTCAGCTGATCTATGAGTCTTGTGGGCATACTTTTAGCTTAGCTTAGCATAGATCATTGAATCAGATTAGACCATTAGCATCTCACCGAAAATTGACCAGAGAGATTCAATAGTTTTCCTATTTAAAGCTTGACTCTTCTGCAGTTTGATTGTGCAATAAGACCTACAGAAAATTAAATGGTGGTATTTTTTTAAACTGATATAGCTAGAAACTACACTCTCATTCTGGCGTAATAATCAAGGAATGTTACTGTCGTATCATGGCTCCAGAAGACGCAATGATAATCTTTCAAACATGGAGACATTTATGAGAGACAATTAAGTTATTTTCATGCTATGTAACTACTCAAGAATCAAGCTTTTTTTTAAGTGGGATGATGCTAATGGTCTAATCCGATTCAATGATCTATGCTAAGCTAAGCTAAAAGTGATCTTGCCAGTGCCACATATTGGCTAAATGGATAATAAAATGGACAAACTCTAGGTTTAGCTTAGCTTAGCTCATTTTTAGCTTGAATTAGCATGCGATTTTATGCATCACAGTTACCTAGCTACTTAGTTGAGGACTTTTTTGAATGAGAGTATCGTTTCTAACCATATTGGTCTAAAAGATATCAACTTTTCATAGTTCACAATGAAATTGCAGGAGTGTCGAGCTTTAAACAGAAAAAGAAATGAAAATTATTTGATCATTTTTGAATGAGAGGCTAATGGTCTAATCTGATTTAATGATAGATGCTAAGCTAAGCTAAAAGTGATCTCATCAGTGCCACAGATTGACTAAATGGGTAAAATATGGTCAAACTCAAGTTTTAGCTTAGCTTAGCTCACTTTAACAGGGATTAACATATAATTTCATGCATCACTCTTACCTAGCTTCCTAGTTGGGGACTTTTTTCAGGTGTTGCATAACAATCTTTGCCCCTGCTTCAGCCATGGTACAGCAGCAAAGTTCCTTGATTATTACACCAGTATGAGGGTAAAGTTCACAGTCACATCAGTCAAGAAAATAGCATCTTGGTACACAGTAAAATTACAGAAGAGTCTAGCTTTAAATATAAAAATAATTGAAACTCTTTGATGCTAATGGTCTAATCCGATTCAATAATCTATGCTAAGCTAAGCTAAAAGTGCTCCTGCCAGATGCAGAGATCAGCTAAAAAGATTTAGAAAGTGGTAAAACTCAAAGGTTTAACTCTAGAGGAGCTGTAAATGTGAATATTTCCAAATAAAACTTCTTGTGATTGCTGATGATTAAAGGGTTTTGAAGCTTTGAAGAGTTCAGTTTCTCTCATCACTGCACATACTCAGAGCAGAATAAATAATGCCACATTCACATTGCCCTTGCAGGAGGTCCAGGTGAACAGGCCATACGGCAGATCTTAGATGAAGCTGAGAAAGTTGGTGAACTCTGTGCTGGGAAAGAGAGACGAGACATTGTGGGAACAGCCAAAACACTCGGACAACTTACAGAACAGGTGTCTGATCTGAGGGCCAGGTATAAAACCACAGATTGAACTTTACTTTACTTTACTACTTACTTCTTAACTACTTTACTAATTTACTTTTACTCTACTGCACTACTTTACTTCTTTACTACTTTACTTTTGTTCTTGACTTTACTACTTTTCTACTTTACTTCTGTACTTTACTACATTACTTTTACTTTACTACTTTACTTCTTTACTATTTAACTACTTTATTTTTCTTCTTTACTACTTTAATTTATTTTTCTTATTTACTTTACTTCTTTACTTTACTGCATTACTTTAACTTTACTACTTTACTACTTTACTTTTCTTTTTTACTTTACTACTTTACTATACTTTTCTTTTTTACTTTACTACTTTAATTTACTTTTCTTCTTTACTTTACTTCTTTATTTTACTACTTTACTTTTACTTTACTACTTTACTACTTTTTTACTTAACTGCTTTAATTTACTTCTTTACTTTACTACTTTACTATACTTTTCTTTTTTACTTTACTACTTTAATTTACTTTTCTTCTTTACTTTACTTCTTTATTTTACTACTTTACTTTTACTTTACTACTTTACTACTTTTTTACTTAACTGCTTTAATTTACTTCTTTACTTTACTACTTTACTATACTTTTCTTTTTTACTTTACTACTTTAATTTACTTTTCTTCTTTACTTTACTTCTTTATTTTACTACTTTACTTTTACTTTACTACTTTACTACTTTTTTACTTAACTGCTTTAATTTACTTCTTTACTTTACTACTTTACTATACTTTTCTTTTTTACTTTACTACTTTAATTTACTTTTCTTCTTTACTTTACTTCTTTATTTTACTACTTTACTTTTACTTTACTACTTTACTACTTTTTTACTTAACTGCTTTAATTTACTTCTTTACTTTACTACTTTACTATACTTTTCTTTTTTACTTTACTACTTTAATTTTTACTTTACTTTACTATTTTACTACTTCACTTCTTTACTTTACTACTTTTTTACTTTTACTTTACTACTAATTTACTTTACTTCTGTACTTTACTAATTTACTTCTTTACATTACTACTTTACCAATAATTTACTATACTTTTGTACTTTACTACTTCACGTTACTTTTTTACTTTACTATTTTACTTCCTTACTTTACTACTTTACTTCTTTACTGTACTACTTTACTTCTTTACTACTTTACTTCTTTACTGTACTACTTTACTTCTTTACTGTACTACTTTACTTTTTTACTTTACTACTTTACTACTTTAATTTTTTACTTTTACTTTACTACTTTAACACTTTACTTTAATACTAATTTACTTTACTTCTTTAGTTTATGACTAATTTACTTTACTTTTGTACTTTACTACTTTACTTCCTTACTTCTTTACTTTACTACTAATTTACTTTTCTTCTGTACTTTACTACTTTACTTCTTTAATTTAATTTCCTACTTTACTTCTTTACTTTACTTCTTTACTATACTTCTTTACTATACTTCTTTACTTCTTTATTTTACTACTTTCCTTTTTTACTTTAATTTATTTTACTTTAATTCTACACTTTATTTTACTTCTTCACTTTATACTAATCCATAGTTGGTGTGTCTGTAATTTTTGTCCTGCGCAGGGGTCAGGGTGCGAATCCAGTGGCCATGCAAAAAGCCCAGCAGGTCTCTCAGGGTCTGGACGTCCTGACAGGGAAAGTGGAAAACGCGGCTCGTAAACTGGAGGCAATGACCGGCTCCAAACAGGCCATCGCTAAGAGGATCGATGCGGCTCAGGTGACAGGACGGGAATGGTTTGAGACACATCCCGTTCAGATGAAGGGGTGTTTATAGGGTGTGTGTGTTTTCAGAGCTGGCTTGCGGATCCTCATAGTGGCCCAGAAGGAGAGGAGAATATCAGGGCTCTTCTAGGAGAAGCCAGGAAGATTGCAGATCTGTGTGAAGATCCCAAAGAGCGGGAGGATATCCTGCGCAGCATGAGCGAGATCGCAGCACTCAGCGGGAAACTAGCAGAGCTCAAGAGAGCGTAAGTACACTTTGAATACCCTGAAACACAACAAAACACCCTGAAACACTCTGCAATGCACAGAAACACCCCAGAACACTGAAACACACCAAAACATCCTGATACACTCTGAAACACCCCAACAGACCGAAACACCCCAATATACTATCTTAAACACCCCAAAACACACTGAAACACCCTATTATACTCTCTAAAACT